ATATTCCATGGATTCATATTCCCACTTTGCTAGGGTTTTGAGTGGAAGACCGGTGCGTGGTGCATCCCATAAACAAGTTGGTCAGCGTCTCTGTGCTCCAGTTCTATTTTTCGCAAGTAGATTAGGAATAATGAAAGTGTATCTAGGTTACTGAATGGAAATGAAGGTGCTATAGTTGCGTGAATTTCTCACTGCAGCTGAAGCTAATTTTCTCAACAAAACCTATGACGAGTGAATTTTCGATAGAGCAAAGCTATAGCAATATCGTTGTGCTCACTGGAAATTATGAACCAAGCTGTTCCCACTGAAAGGTATTAATAAACAAATAAACGAAAGTAAAAAAAGCCATGCATTCGCTAGGAATTTTTCGCGTAGTTTGTGATGTGAAGCCATGCATGCAAGGGTGATTAGGTTCCAGTATATTTCGCATCGACCACCAGAAACCAAAAATACTGTTTTCAACGCTTGAAGTTCAGAGGAAATCACAGCAGGCGACCAAACCGCCGAAATCAAGCGGGTGTCACAGGCTATAGGTGAAGGATGGTGTGGACATTTCTTCGTGCAGTGTCGTACCGACTGTGCGATTTTCAGCGACGTGAGCGTGACTCGGATCCTCAGAGTTTCTATTACGCTTTCCTATCGGGAACCTTTCTTTTCTGATAAACAGCGATAATACATAAATGTACCCTGAGAAGGTGCTCTTCCGTCCTGTTGGGTTGTAATGAACCATGGAACCCACTGTTAGTTCATAACGGTTACGTAACAACCTGAACTTTTCTGCACAATCGTGTTGCGAAACCTCTCAGCACGGACAGCTGGTAGACGGTGGTAGCCAAAGCATCGAAAGTTGCAAAAAACACGTGGCGAGCTGGGGGACGGGCATTTTTTGAGGTTTTCTAGAGACAGACCCCGCGATTGCATATACATATAGTGCCGTTCGGTTACGAACTTATAGCCTGTAACTCTCCAGGCAAGAAAAAAAGCCGGAAAAAAATCATAGGGAACACCCCTAGTAAGGAGCCCGAGTAGCATCACAGTTCTATGGGCCTGCGTTTCATTTTCGTTTCATTGCATAAAAGCACCGCCTGTGGCTCACAAACTGTTGCTACATGTCATCCGATACTAATACCATCTGACAGTGAGAAAAAAAACGAAGACGGTGTAAAAAATGAAGTCGTTGCAGAAAATAGCCTCAGATTTTCGGATGGCGGAACGAATACGGAGGCGTCAGAACTGCCACTTATGACGGCAGCAGCACAAATTGGCTGACCGCGGTGACTGTCTTTAGGTTCAACCTTCCCGTAGACCGCTAAAAACCACACAAACAAAGTTGTCCTCACTGGGGTATGTGACAAGAGGATCGTAATTTGCCGCGCTGCTGGGCGTCGCGTGCGACGTCCCGCCCGCAAAGGACGATGGTTTCAGGCAGTAGATGGCGACAACATGCAATTAAGGACCGAAAACAGTAATGAGTGTCTACGATGACGGGGTCTACATGAAGTCCGGTGCTCCATTCGACAGGTTAAAACGAGTTATGAAAACGCCGCGCCCATCGCCGCGCGTGGCGGTGCGGCGAATTACGATCCTCTTTACCGTCTCCCTGGTTGGGTGACCAAGGTCTGAAATCGGAGGGAGAACAGAACACACTTAAATAGGGTATAACGAAGAAGCAGAAAATGCCGTGTTAATTAAGCGCTGGAGCAGATGATCGTTCGATTACAGCTTCTATATTTCACTCTCGCAGCCGTGATATGATTGTAACTGCTGGCAGCTGCTGGAAGACCACAGCTGGCTGGCGCCGCGCCAAACCCAGCACCTTGACACACTTCGCGTCCGCATCGAACGGGGTTTTATTCGCAACAGTATGGACGCAGCCTCCGAATCGATTGCATTTTTACTCCTGACTTTGGTGAGCACAGAAAAAAAATCGTGGGATACCCTAAGGTCTCCTGGCATCAGAACTGTCACTTGTGGGAGCCGTAGCACCTTCCTTCCTACTTCTACTGAAGCCGCCAACGTGGGACCGTCCTAGAGACTGACGGCCGGACTACTTTTACGAGGATGGGGATTGGTTGGTGATTTTCGACACTGGATGCAAACTGTCTTGGTTTGAACGAAGATATTTTCCTTAAAACCCAACTGTTTGCAAATCCAAAACCAGTGTCGAATATCAGAAGATTTCTCTTTCCAAAAACCTGCTTGATTTGTTTGTGAAGTTTTCGGGATTCATGAGATAATCGCGTTGGGATTTTCTGAAGAAACCTCCGAGCTGCTCGAAGAATCCGTTTTCTGTGTACCGTTTCGAATGGGCGTACTCGGATATCCAGAATGCATCTGGAATGCATCCCTTCGTGGAATAGGAGCAAGCAGTAGGTGTTTTAGCGCCCATTAGCTTCATTTGTGGATGCGCCATGCTTAGGCTCCCACGCAGAGGTAATGGGATGGTGCAGTTCCACGCAATGCCTTTCTAGTTTACAGGATTCAGGGAGTTCCATGGTCAAGCCTACGCACTTGTTTACAGTGTTGTCCGTTGCGGATGATGGGGCGTGTCCGTGTCCGACGCCAGATCTGTGCTCCGCCAATTGCTGACTCCGATAAAGGAGACCAACTGCTGGAAAACGTCTGATACGAACGATATGGTAGTCCTTGTCGAAAAAAAACAGGTTGGCTCAGCGCCAAGCGCGATCGCGGACACGCCATCATCCGCAGCGAACCAGAGTATGAGTTGTACTGTTTAGTCACTTACGAGATGATGTCGACTTATTAATATTTCCAGTTAATTTCTGATTAGTTTATCAAAGAAAGTTTTGTACTATTTTTTTACATATCCGGATTCTCTACAAAGCAAGTTTCGCTACACAGGACTCAGCACACTGACACCTTTGCGCTGCTCGTTACTGGCTACCGCACTCATTACGACCCCCCCTCTCCTGGCGGCCAAATACGACCCCCTGTTGGGGAATCCCCAACAACGATGTGCCCTGATCGTGATGATCAGCAGGTGTTTTTCTTTCGATGACCTCTAAAGGTGATCGATTCTTTAGCTCATGAAATAACGAGCGAGATCGATCGCGATCGCCCTTGCGTCGTCTCACTCAACTGTGTCATCCTTCCTGCACGCACGTGCTTAACAAGTTCTTCGCTATCCGTTGCCCAACGGAACAGTTGTGCATCGTGTTTTCCACGGATTATTCTTGTTGGTGTGAGCTGTACGACGATATTTCCAGCAACGAACGAAAAGCCCACACTCCTCATCGCTGGCAATCATTTTTCCGGAATCATCACTGCGTTGCCTGTAGCCTTTAGATGTGGGCAGAAAATTTCGCCATTCGTTCTTCCCATCACAATCTGATCAAACCCTATATTATTGTACACTTGCTTTGAGACTCATTTTTCTCTGAATCGTACTTCGCTTTCTTTGCTGGTATTTCTGCCTCAACTCATAGGTTTTTCATGCTGTCCCTCCACATTCCTTCAAAAAATCACTATTTCGTTGCCCCCAGGGCACCTCTACCGCTGAGAAAATTTTTTGCAAATTATGATTTTGCAAATTTTTCTAAAACTTGTCAGTTTTCTCAGAAAAAAAAAGTGCTGGAAAGAGGATACATAGCATCTGTGGAGCAGAAAGAAGCGAAGGAAAGTGTAAACTACCGAAAAATTTTTCTCGAAGGCTAATACGAACCCCATCCCTCCAGCGACCGATTACAAACTCCTAGCTGGGGATTCCCAACCCACGACGTGCCCTGACTGCCTGTCATGCAGCGTCCATACTTCGCTACTGGAACGCTTGAATTCAGTGTCACTCCTAAGTTCAGAACTCCTCGACAGAGAACGTACACTC